AATAAACATTTGAAGCACATGGTCCTGTGCAAAAGGTTGCATCAGAGGGCCTTCAAAGATATGCATACTAGATATCCGTAAATGCATGAGTAATATTCATTTGAGCTTTTCTGCGAACCCTGTGGTATATCAGGTAGGAGCTTTCCTCGATCTCACCTGCACCTGATCGCCCTTGTCAAAATCTACCTACTATTTATGGCCTTACCCAGTCAAAGTTTAGTCGACATTCACTCACCATCCAAAACTTGGTGATTTCATTTGAAGAAATTTAAGAGGAAGGTCTAAAAATATACACATTTCAGAAGGCGTTTAAAGTATGTAACGTTTTAATTGACTCTGTTTTTATCAGCAGATTATTGGAGTTGGGCAAAAATGCAACAAACTAAGTTTTTTTATCAAAAAGTTACTGACGACACGATGCCTTCAAACTAACTAAACGATTGTGTACCAGTTGCCTTTGGTTAATCGTACTACTTCTATTTTTCCGGGGTTTCCTTGAACCGGTCTTTTTTGTCGACCAATTTTTTCTGCGTTCCTTCCATCCAGTTATGGTGGTAAGCCTAGTTAGGAAGATTCGCCCCGCTATAATGCTTCGAGTTTGCGGTCAATTCTCTATTTGCTTACGATCATGGCTCGGTTTGCGTTGATTTCCCACCAAAGTCTTCAGCAGAACGAAAAAAGTCTGTTTATGCGTACCGGCCGGTATTCCCAGGTAGGTTTGGGGAACGAGCGTTGTCACACCCGAAAGACAATGATGAGATATTGAGATATGGAGCTACAAGCCGCTTCCCCAGTCTTGATGAAATCATTCTGGTTAGTCTACGCCAAGGCTAGGAGGCACCGGTTTCCGTTTTCGCTGTGACCAAAGCTCGTCAGCAGTGAATAAAATTCACCGAGACTCCAGATATCTGCCAGGTAAATGACGGTCCACAACGAGTTCAAGGATGTTTCAATAAATCGCTTATTCCCACCAATCTTGCATGGTTATCCGAATAGCCTGTTTTGATGGCAAGCGCTTGGCTGTCAACCTGTGTACAGAGCTTGGATTCCTGAGGATATCTTCGGTGCGCGGTGAATTGTCGATGATGTCTTCACGATTGGTGATGAAACGTCTGCGTACAAGTAGCCAAACTGGATAACAGATTAACAGACACATGATCTACAAAGAGTTAACGCGCCCTAGTTACCACCATTTCACACGGCACATTATCAAATGCTGTGTGCAGATGTGAACGACAGATTTTGTCTCTTAGTCTTACCCGGAAATCGCTCGAAATGCGCTCGCACCAAAATACATATTAGCAAAACACATATCACTATCGAATACCCATGTTAAACCTGAGCATGCTTCACTATGAAGTTATGAATCATCATATGAATCTACTTATTCGATCTACATTCGTCACATCTCATCACCGTGTCTCATGACGAATACACAACGACCTTGTTTATTGATCCAACACTTACTTTACTTCGGGGGACGCTCAAATGGGATGGAAATCTTGTCACCCATAGTCCCTTGTGGAATGATGTTCAGCGAATGCGGCCAATTCAAAACAGGACATAAAATTTGCTTTACTCTGCCACATTCCCACCCAACCCACGGAGGATTTTACGGTTATGTACATGTTTCTGTCAAACTCGTGGCATAGGTTGAGTTAGTAATTTCTCGGACGGGCAAACTAAAGTCTCTTTTCGTTTGTGCCGGGTTGCACGGCTGTGTTCTTGATCCGTCTCTCTCATACCAGACGTGTGTACCGTCCATTCGCACTTAAGTAATGTTCTGGTATCGCTGGACACCATAGCGTTTGTTGCTAGCATTCACTGCCAACCCCTATCACCGAAGAACACATCTGTGACAGTGGGAGCCACCCTATTTTTTGGTTGCAGTGACCTTTTCATTCGCCACATAAGCACCTGCGCTCCGACCCCTGTGGGTAGAAGTTGCTAAGATAGTCCTTTGTCGATGTTCTGGCAGTGTACGCGACGTGGATGACCAGTGCTGCCCTGATAAATGTCATGCGATCAGCAGAACACCACTCGTTTTTAGGATGCAACAGAGTGGATTCTCTCACAATTTTAACTAGACTCATCTACTGAAATGAAAGTTGGAATATATGTAGAAAATTAAAAATCAACACAAGTGAAGAGACTCGAAATAATTATCGTAAACATGGGAAGAATGGCTGGTTTCGGACTCAACATAGTATCTACAGAATGTCTCATAATAGACGCAAAATTTGATTAAATAAATAAACTTAGTTAATTAAAAAAGATTAATAAAATATTTTAATATCACTAGTCACATAAAGGAGGTTTTGTATTCAAGTGTTAACATTTTTACGGTGGATGTCAGTACGCACAATGAAATTGTGAAACTCTATTATTCCCTTGGCGAAAGCGCCAGCGCTGCACTTCGTGGTTACAAAACTAAACAAACATGGTCTCATCAAAGATCCTTTCACCGTGTCGACCATTACACGCTTGATTGCAAAATTTAAGTCTACTGGATCTGTATTCGATTTTCATAGTAAAGGGAGAAAGTCTCTGAGTGATGTACAGAAAGCCGTCGAGCAACTTCCGTCCCAGAGCACCATAGCATCTTCGTCAATAACTTAGGTGTCTCAGTTGACCGGCATTCCCCGCGCCAGCATGCATCATATCATGAGACGCCACCTTCATCTTGGGGAACGATCAAGGCTCGCGTATATCATGAAAATAAACCGAAGAATTTGGTGGAGTTAAGAGGAAGAATTGAAGAGGAGTGTGCACGAGTGATGCATGAAGTTAAACATGCTGTCTCACAACTCATGCCACCTACAACTTGTCATAGAAGAAAGGGGCAGTTTTTCAACATTTTGGTAATGTTAGTAAATTCACAGTAAACCTCCATAAGGCATGTATGTTCACATAAAAAATAATAAATGTTTGAATTAATGTTAAAGTTTTAATTTTGTTTTTTGCGTCCATTATGTATGTCTCGGGAATCGTTTGTCCGCGATCAGTTGTGGAGGAACTCAGCATTCCAGTCCACCGAATCACCTAGTTGATGTGTGAAAGTAAACGACTAGAGGAAAACTGATTTAAATTGAATATCTGTGCTTATTTTCAGTCACTGATGACTGTATGTTAGGTCCCTGTTGCCGTCAACTATTCACAGTAACTTCACCCGTTTTATTTTATACAGTTGGAAAGCTGACAAAGAACAGTGTACCTACTTCCCCTCACCGCAGATGAGATTCTTTGGTCTGCAGTTGGATTAAAATCGCCCGCCGTGGAGCGTATTGATTCTCCATGAGCCATTGCATAAAACAATCCATTCCATTTTTCGTACGACTTATTGCTTAGCCACATACTTTTGCAAGAGAAGCGGAATGCCATGAAACGAAGGGACGCGTTTTTCCCGGTCAAAACTGTTCTCTGTTTGTCGCATGGATTGTCGTTTTTTGTGTATCCCTAGTTGTACACTAGCTTAATATAAACAGTATGACCTTGAAAGCATTCCAGTCCATCCTGTAGGTGATCGAACGCTTGTCAGACCTTGAATGTATACTGACTCTGACTCTCGGGCTGGAAAAATATGCTATAAATACCATTTTTGGAATTAGCAACACCGTTAAACAGGCTACTCGAAACTTTGTTCGTGCATGTGAGAATTCACTTTCGGGGTGGCATCAGAGATCAAAGCACCCATAGTATAAAAACGAACCATCAGTATCGCAGCTTGCAGGATATTCAGAACATGCTAGTCAAGCGCTGCTTTCGATTTGTGAATTTTCAACCGGTTAAAAAGCTAATCGATGACTGTGGAAGTATTTCGATCCTTTTAGATTACACCGTCCAAAAATAATTTTGAAACATTTTGTAGTATTTCCACTCTTAGGTATTCCTTCCGGGTCAGCCGGTTGGGAGAAATGGTGTGGCTTCAATAACTAATGAATTCCTCGATCCACCAAAGTCTTGGTTGTGGGTTGGACGCTCAGAAGGACGGAAATGATGCTGGAGTGGTATTTCTCTAATTTTGAACAGTGCTGTGAGCCAGAATCCGAAGTTTCCGTCTGTGAAACTGTCATCCATACAGTGTTATGCGATGGATGCATAATGTTGGCTAAACGAGAACAAATGAATTTCGAAAATAGAATCTGAGAAAAAATGTTGCTCCATGGAAGTAACTTGCAACGATGATATTTAAAAGATTCTTGACCTCGTCCAGCAACGCCGATGCCATCGATCTGATCATGTCACAGGAGGTCACTGGGACAAATAGGTACTAACATATCCAATTTGAACTAGATGCCGATGTGGATTAGATGAGTAGCTGAATATTTGAATCAGTAGTGTCATGGTGGAAACAGGAAGCCTGTGTCCGAGATTGGTATCCGTTTTTTGCGACTCGGTACCGATTTATGGACGCTCCGCGCCTTGGGCAGTCGGACTTTAGCTGCTGCTGCTGCTGCTGAAGCCTACGTACCGACCCACAGAACATAATTGCAAATAAAGCGTATCAGATAATGAGAGACGATTTCTGTCGATCTCTCGATGAAACTTATGTCTGCTGAAAATCTGGGAAGCACTGTACAATTTTTCATCCTTGGTAGAAATTATCAAGCAAAACTTGGAGAGTTTCGTGCTTGTGACCTTCCTGCTCGTTGTTGAACACTGATGATGATTCCCAATAAAGATGAAACAGATGTAAAACGCTTCCCAGCTTTTCAGCGTAGAACGACTTTGCTGACGGGACAAAATCTCGGACAAAATCTCACACATTTGGAGGTTGAGTTTTGCTTGTTTTCAGTGAATCTTTGGAATTTCACAGCACCGGTGAATTTGCACCGTCGTACCCGTTGTTAAATGTCGGCGTTTGGGGCTCCTCGGTGATTTAAACAATAACACAGTGACCAACATTATTGCTTTCGGAAGCCCGTCCTCAGGTCAGTACACATCCAATGATTAAAATCGGGGTGGACAATTGAAAAATCAACTCAGATAGGCTGGTAGATTTAGGCACAACTGATTGGTTGTCGACGCACTCCACGTCGCACCTGATTGGATACTGTGAGACAGTTCAGAGGGTGATTTGGTCGGTTGATTCGTGTCACATGACTCAGCGTTCGTACGAATCGATTTTGACAACGCGGTACAAGGTATCGCAAACGTATTTCGACTGCATCATCTGTAGTCAAGCCACGTCGTTTGGTCGATACTGATAGTCCTTCGGGTACTCGGTGGATTACGTGAAACGACTCTTTCGGACTGATCGCATGACCAATGTCAGTTATATGGAACCCGGTTGAGATTTCGGCTGAACCACTGAGTCTAGTAGGGTTCCGGCAAGAGGGACGCTCACGTATTCTCATAGAAAAACCTGCGCTCAAAATATTCCGCTGAACAACAGCAGGAGAAAGAATACACCACTATGTTCTTGGTGAGGACTGGTATCACTAAAATATCAATTATCGGACCGGAACTAGTTTTTCTTGAAGATGTGACATGGATCGACTACAAGTTTAGTTTAGACTGCTTGTATGTCTGTGCAAAATGTGGTCAACTTCCACCATTTTTCTCCCAGTTGGGTTCCGTTTTGCCAAGCCTTCGCACACTTGGGTAGAATTCAGGCAACAGTCAACTGTATCAGTACGTATTTCAGGAAGTCACTCCTAATAGATGGGCTTTTTAACAAGAGATTGTCAGTTTTTTTCAAATATGTTAGACAAGGCGTGACTAATTCGTTCATCAAAAGTGATAATTGTCTTTCAACTGTTTGTTCACCAGTCAAAGACGAACGGACGGTTTCTAGTATTGGTGGAAAAAAAATCATACGACTTCTACGACCGGGCTGTCTATTCCTGACACATGATGAACTCGGGTAAATTGATGACTTGCCTGCAGACCTGAAACCGTATTTATCTGCAGTTGAATGGCAAACGTCGAGCGAGTCTCACTGTGATGAGCAGCCTCAAACTGCTGACTCTCCTAGCTTTGTTGATGTGCTCTAATCAGACAAGAAGACTTATTGTAGGCAAATTTTTTACCGACCAATCAGCTATCGGCCGATGTTTTCCTATCTCCTCTACTCGACCGTGCATACAAAAACTTTACAGTGAAACAGAAACCTCATTATTAAGGGAAATGTTGCGAGAAAGTATCTTTTTATACCACTTCATCGACCGCAACACGTTTCTTTCGTTGTCATTCCATAACTTTCCTGGTTCAAATTAAGCCAGTTAGTCCAACCTTTTTTGAAAAATTTACTAGGCACTTCCTGTAAACGATAACAGCTCGATCTTCTGCAGTTTTACAGATATTTTAAGGACGTCACAAAAAATGACAGCCGGCATGAAAGCGTGAGATTTCCGCTTGCGTTTGGTGCCTTGGAAATAGTTTTCCCGGTAACTTAAGATTTGCGAGGCATGTTGTAGCCGGGATGGACCATAGACAGGACAAAATTTGCATTACACTGTATTGTAAGCCATCTGTGGATTTCGACCTCTTTTGTTCTGATGGTTGTTTGAATGTCTCATAGTAAGTGATCGTTTGGCCATAATCACAAATTACCCCAGTTTTTCAGGTTGGCTATTACCTGTTTCGTTTCCGAAAGTTCTACAGTGCCACTGAGAGATATCACACTGAGTTTGTTTGTCTGTTTATGCCGGAGCTATTCAATGATGGACCATTATAGAATAGGCATTTCGATCATTCGAAATGTTTATTCTTGAGTAGTCTGGTCTACCTGGAGATAAATAAAGTTACACTGCGCGTTATTAGATTTGCATCCTGGAACAGGAACTAATGCGATAGACTGAAATGCTGAGGAAATAGAGTTTACTATCAGGACTGACAACGTACTTTACTTGGAGAGCTGGTTGCAACAGTTAGTGCAGTGTGTCTTCTTTTTATTACTTGGGGACCTAAATGTCCGACTAAACTTGCTCTGCAAAGGCCACACAAAGCTAGAAATGTCCATCAGTTGTCGTTGAATTCCAACATACCGCCTGAAGTCTACAACATGCAAAATATTTCAGACGCGTCACTTGACACAGGCAGCACTTCAGGCGATGGGAAGTTCTACCACCGATAGTGAAAATAACTTTTGTCTATCACGGGATTTTCATTTTACGGCACGCTATCCACGTTTGTAGGCAGTGGACAGTTCTTTGGACTTGAGTGAGCTTCGTTTTCAAGCGATTATGACGGGCAAGACCCATTCGTTTCGCTAAAACTCTCCATAGAGCAGTCAAACACAACCAAGTATGAGGCATCCGGAACAAAAGCCAACGGGTCCGTTAGTCTTAAACGATACGGTATCTTTATGGAGATTTCGTCCCGTAAGTGAAGCCACTCTATGCTGAAAAGCCGAGAAGCACTGTACAGCTGTTTCTTCCTTATTGGGAATCATCAGCAGTGCGCATCTCACGAAACTCTGGAGAGTCTCTAACTCGCGACCTCCTGGCTAGTAGTTTGAACACTTGACCGTTCGGCCACGAGCGATTGATCAGCAGTGTGAAGAACTCGCACTTAGACAGGATGTAGCGCCGCTCATCCTTCAATCACAGGATGCATATCACGCAGTCACGCGTGTTGACTGGCTCCTCGAGCAACAGCGTGGATCGTCGGGTTGTGCAGACGCATACTGCAGTCCCATTAGGGACTCTACTGAAACTATCTGGATCTGGCGTGCTTAAAAATTCAGATAATTTATCCAATGAAAACGACTCAAGTCCGCATTGTTCAGCATTTCGGTCATCTCAAGCAGCCTTTATCAGATGCAAAATGACCAAAACTCTACCAAAAAAATTGGATTTTTCCTTGAATACTAGAGTAATCGATGTGATACGTACAAAGTACAAACTGGTTGAGTAGATTCCTACTGCGTTGGACACAGATGCTCGTCGTCTTTTGTTCGATGAAAATACTATCGGTTGTGGTGTTTGGGTTTTCAGAGATAGGTATTTTGTTCATAGTCACACCAGTATCGTTTGAACGGTTATACTCCTGTTCTGGCCTAATTATTCCGGTGAGTCCACACCAAAGGGAAGCACTGGACTCTAGTTTCGTTCCTATTAGAGCTCATCAGCAGTACATATCCAATGGCCGTGCCGGGATTTGAGCCCCGGACATCTGACATGCGAGGCGAGCGTGTAACCACTACTCCACCAACGTACGTTGGACGCATCTGAATTATCACGTCTGAACAGGAGAACGTGATCACACTTGAGCGATGTCATTGGTGTGCCCGACTCATGATTGAACGACGACCCACTAACTGTCCTGGTTGTGACGAGTGCTCTTGGCCCAAATTTGATGAACATTAAGTATTTAGAGAGGTCTAACCCCAAGGATAAATTGATTGGCCTTCATTCCGTTGATAATAATCTTAGACATAAATCTGGAATATACTGGTAAGCTATTCGGCATTCTATTCTGTATGGAGGCAGATTCATATACATTCATCTGTCTTTTCTTCAGAATTGTGTGAGCTGAGAGTTGCCTTGTTCGAACAGCGGAACTGAAAATTCCTCAGATGTTCGACAATCGTTGTCTCAGGACCACAGCTCATGTGGGTTAGTGTCGGACACTTCGTACCGAAGCAATTAGAGAGCGAGTTTTCGGTCAGGTAACGAGGACTTCCAGTAAATGATGTGTCCAGAATCAGAACCTGTTTTGGTTAAACCGTGTACTGTGCATGCCGATCCATCGTTTTCACGAATGAGTGCTGATTTCCGTGCCCAATTCGGATTGGCCGAAGCAAAGTGATGGCTCACCTTTGAGTAAGCAGAGGTTTATAAAAGAGTTACAAAAAGTTTATAAAAGGTTTATAAAAGGGTGCTGTCTGCAGATGGGTTCCTGCAGATGTAGGTACTTCAGAATGATTGTAGTAAGCTAGCACCAATTCCCTTCCCCGTCCGCCTATATTTTTTCTTCACACTAAGACTCACATAAACCATGGTTGTAAACAATTGAGGTGTCGATGTGGAACATTGATGTCACGCTGTGGATGATGATCCTGAAATGATGAAACATAATACTCGATGTTTTCTAGTGAAAAGACAAACTCGACATGAAACCACACTTAATTCAAAAGCACTAGACTCAAAACTCTTAGAAGCCAACCGCGGATTTTTGGTATTCTGGATTGAAACCAATAAAAAGACAAAACAGATGATAGTAAAAATATCTGAGTTGGCAAGAATTTTCCGGCACATATCAAATCTTGTAGTGTTTTCATTCTGAAATACCATAAGGATCGAAAAATATCCAAAAACTTTATCGTTCTGAGTTAACCGTATTGAGAACAGTTAGGTGTGGCTACGGAATTGAAAACTACCACCTCGTTTCTTACATAAGGAAACTTTTTCCTGAAATGAATCTTGCCACCTTGCCGTTAGAAATAGTACAGTACGATATCTCCTTAAGGGAAACGAAACAACCTAGTCTAACAAGTGTCCCTATATGCATTCGTTAGTTTAACAGGTCGAACAAGCCAAACAGCCTGCTAATTGGGGGTGATAGCTTATCACCAAGGGGTTTGAACGTCAAACATTTGATTCAGCTACAGGCGGCTGCGCAATCAGTATGTTATGCACTCATGATAGTCTATTTTAAGCACTCACCAAATGCTATTGATCTGGTGATCGAAGTAACGAACTTGAGTTTTGCTCTCATATTATAGATCAATGACGCTGCGTATCCTTGGTCATATTCGGGTCTGAATCCCGCTCATCTGATGTGCAGAACCAGCCTGTTTTCAGTCTGTTGGCTATTTAAGACAAAACTTTGCGTGTGTTCGTTGTGATGCCACATTTTTGGGAACTAAACAGGTCAACTTTGGAACCAGAAAGTTTTCTCTGACCGACTTTGGGCTTTCCCCTTTTTAAATGGACTCTGCAGAGGCAGACAACTCGTATTAGCGTGATAAACCACTCATAGGGTTGCTGAACATTCTTCGACAGCCCACGACTGGTTTTGCCTTTCTTGCGTCTCACCAGTTTCCGCGAAACCTTAGTTCTACTTGAACCCGAATTGTACCGAATTAGAAAAATGCACTCATTTGCAAATCAATTCATTTTGGCAGGAGGCCTACCTGGAACCCAGTTCCAGGCACCTTGCCATCCCCAAATTTCTAGAACTTAAACTATCCGCCCCGACAGCCACAAGAATCAGGTTGTTTTCATCAAAAACTCCAAAACCCATCTGGATTATCCAAAACACCAAGGTCCTTAATCTGGTTGGTTGAGACAGAGTAAATTCACATACTGCACACTTTGAACAATATTTCTGATCGGCACATTGTCACAAATTTACATAAATTGAAGCATGCTAGTGATTCTTATTCCATTTTTTTGGAGTTAACTATACCACACGCAGCTTTGGGTTCCGTTTTATG